ATAAGCGCGAAATCTCGTATAATTAATTAAAATATTATATTAACAATAAGAGAGAGAGAGAGAGAGAGAGAAATATCATGATAATAGCATTTATTTCGAAAAAAAAAACAAAACAAAATAATAATGTGTAAAAATTCGAAAGATTTGAACGAATAAGAACAATTATGGTAATCGTATATTTAGTGGGCGTGGGTTATGGTGTATGGGGTCAGAGGCGGGGTAGAAGGGGATACGGGGAAATCGTCTTACCAAATAGTAAGAACGTTTCTGTTTAAATGTTGCAACACGAGTTAGGTTGTAAGGAAACGAGTAGGGAATGAAACTACTCTTCCTCGCGACCAAACCTCTTGCAACTGTGTGAAATGAAGCGAATGCACTTTCACCCGATGCCGGTGCCATTGCCGTTGCTATTGCCGTTGCTATTGCCGTTGGAGTTTAAGTTGCTGTTGCCGTTTTGTAGTTTCGCAAAGAAAAACAGAGAGAGAGAGAGAGCAAACGGTTCTATGTGTATTCGACGAAAGCGAATTTGCGTGAGCACCATGCAAAGCTATACAAATTGGCAAGTTGGTTCTATTTCTTTCTATTAATTCTGACCGTGAAAATCAAATACACGTGTATATGTACGAAAATAAAACGAAATAAAAAGAAACAAAAAAAAATAATGCGAGTAAAAAGAAATGACACGATGCAACAAATCGTTCCTCATTATCGAGATTACTTTTTAATAAAATGAACAATTAAATGGATATATCATAGGTTAACGAGTTTTTAAAGACTAATGTAATAATTTTGTCTTTCGATTGAATTTACTTTTATTTAAAAAAGGAAAAAGAAAAAAAGAAAAAAAAGAAAAAATTCGCAAAGGTCAAATGAAAAATATTAAACAAAATAATACATTATCCCTAATTGCAAGTTAAATGGATTAAACAGACACGCGACCAGGTGACCCTTTTTTTTGCCTTGCCTTCATTTTTTGCTTCCCTTTTATTACTTTTATTTCTCCATATTAATATGTTCTTGATTTATTTTTTTTTTTTGATATTTTTATTCTGTTTCTTTCTTTCTCTCTCTCTCTCTCTTTCTCTCTATCTTTTGTTATGACTATTAATTCTCGCCTTGACTTGATCTCAAGTATACTGAATCTAGAATCGAGCCAGTCGATGATGTCATTAAAGACACCGGTTTCAGCCGGCATCTTACGTAATTTATACGTTTCTATCTATCTATCCATCTATCTCTTTCACTCTCTCTCTCTCTCTCTCTCTCTCTCTCTCTCTCTTTCGTAGCTATTGCAATATCATTATAGATATTATTTTGAAACGCATATAACGAGTAAAGAAGGGTGATATGGGCGATTCGATGTGCAACGATCAACCTTCTACTTCTACTACGATTTTTCCTCCTCCACCTCCACCTCCTCCTCCTCCTCCTCCTCCTCCTCCTCGTTCTTCTTCATCTTCTTTTTCTTTTATTTCTATCGATGCAGGTACACGAAGGATCCGATCCAGTGAAATCACGAGGGTTCTTCGACACCGGGCGGAGATTAACCGAGAAACTAGTAAGGTCAACGACTCTCCTTCTCGTTCCACTAGTGCAGACTGCGAAAGAAGAATAAGAATAAGAAGAAGTAGAAAGAGAGATAGAGAGAGAGAGAAAGAGGGGGGGGGAGAGGGTAGGGAATTTATCGTCGTCGAGCATCGACCAGGAATAGGCGTAAAAGATGGAGACGAGCACCCATTGCAAAAGAATAACAGAGATGAACAGAGAAAAGTAACAAAGAGAAAGAAAGAAAAAATCTAAAGATTAAAACGACGATAAAGAGAGATAGAAAGTGATGGCTAGAGAAAGAGAGAGAGAGAGAGAGAGAGAAAAAGAATATGGCGGGAGAGTAGAAATTTGAAAGTTCTTCTTGGTGAAAGTGCTCGCTAATGCAGCCACAAATCGAACGGTAGCAAAGCCAGCAGCCAATGATTGCACTACGTGACCAATCCCTTCTACCTTTTTTCTTTAAATCTTCATATTTAATCTATATTTTCATCTTTATCCTTAACTTCCTTCTTCTTATTCTTCTTCTATTCTTTTCTTCATACAAAATCTTTGTTTCAAAATTATTCTCGAAACCGTATTTAAAAGTATACAGATAAAATATATACTTCGACCTTTGAACAATCTTCTTCTTCTTCTTCTCTTTCTTTCCTCCCCCCTTCTCCCCCCCCCCTCTCTCTCATTCCCTTTCTCTCATTTTGTTTTCTCTTCTGTGTCCTTTAAAACGAGACGAGACGCCTCTTTTCTCGCGAATAACCCTATCTTAACTCAGTTCATCTGGAAAAAGAGACGTAGCACTCCCTTTCGAGTTCTTCTTCAATGTTGAAACACTCCAAAGAGAAAGAGAAAAGGATAGGGAGAGAAAGACCTTATGTCAGTCTTTCGTTCTAGAGTAGAAAACTCTCTCTCTCTCTCTCTCTCTTGTGTTTCCACATAAAACAGAGAAAATGTCGATTCTCTTTCGAGTCGTTGAGCTCTCCAACAAGAGAGAGGATATCGGCCGAAAGAAATCGTTATCTAGGAAGGTCGTGCATGCTAATCGTTAATCGATTAAGTATTCACGTTTTTTTTTCTTCCTTCTGTTTTATCTTTCCTTTTTTTATTTATTTTTTACATCATTCAACTTCTCTTACTCTTCTCCCTGTCCCCTGTCCCCTGCCCCTCCCCCACTCCCCACCTTACCATCCTCTTTGTTTCTCTTTGAAACTTTCCCGAAGGAATGTAAAAAGATGAACGAAAGTATCACGTAGACATTTCTTGTAATGGAAAGAAATCTCATATTGTATCCCCACCCTCTACCCTCCTCCCCCTCCTCCTTTTTCCCTCTCGTAACCCTCTCTCTCTCTCTCTTTTTATCAAGTATTACGCGCGTGAGTCTCTCTTGGAGAACGGTGAAACGTAAGAAAACTATAGAACGAAGCAACGTCGTCATTATATTCGCATCATGAGATTTGTGTGTGTATGTATGTGTGAGTGTGTGTGGTACTGACATGACTCGTACTTTCTTTATTTTTCTTTGTTGGTTAACTCTTTCTCTTACTCTCTCTCTCTCTCACTCACTCTCTCTTTCTCTCTCTCTCTCTCTTATTGAAACTTACTAGGAATACAAGCATAAGGGCTATCTTCCCTTCGTTCACGAGAAACATAGGCGCTTCTCTTAAATTATCGTCACGATCATTCGACCGCTTGATTGCTTTTTTTCTTTTTTTTTACTTTTTGTTTTTCTTCTTTCTCCCTCCTCCCCCTCCGCCCCTCTTTAGAAAAGGGTCCGATAAATGTATTCGCGGTAAACGAGAAAATCGTAAGGGTATGTTTGAAATAACGCGAGATTTGGATTTGTTGAAAATTTTCGTGTTTGTTTTTTCTTCTTCTTTTTATGTTAACTTTTTATTTAATAATCGATTTATATTGTAATTTTGTGTATAATGAGAAAAAATCGAATGATAAATTTTATTGAAAATAATGATGAACTCACGTGTTTCTCTGGGCTTCTTTTTTAACGATGATTCCACTTGTTTCTTTTCTTCTTTGAGAATATTCTTTTGTTTTTTTTTTTAAATGACGTCTATTTGTCGAAAATAGGAAAATCGGAGAAATTTAGGACGGATTTGTGAGATTAATCGAAATTTCGATCACTCGACAATTGTTATTTTTTTTTCTTAATAATTGATTTTATTGTTCTGCGAAAGAAAAAGAAAAATTTGTTGAAAGGTATGATCGAAGATTTAATATAAAAGTTTAGCATTTGTTAAATGAAAAATCGCAACGATTTTAAATGAGAGTATACGTCGAGAAAATTTTTCTTAATTTTTTTAAAAGTAATAGTAATTTTTATAAAATAGGATAATAAAAATCGTTGAAAAAGAAATCGCAGATTAAAAATCTCAAAGAGATTTAAAAACAATCGAAAGTTTTCATCGAGTAAATTAAAAAGATCGATAAAATTTAAAATAGATGATTGTAGCATCTGGAATACTATTTCCAATTCCTCAAAAAGGATGAAAAAGTTTATATAAAATTTGTTACAAAAATAATTCTTAAAAAAGAAGAAGAAAGGGAGTAGAGGAATAAAAATATCACATATAACGAAATTTTTTACATGAAAGATTTTAGACATCAGCAAAACTGTTTTTAGTGTCTCGATATGTAATTTTTCGAAAAAAAAAAAAAAAAAGAAAAAAAGTATGCTGTAATGAGATGAAATCTGTAGATGTTGAGATCGTTAAATAAAGATGTTCTTGAGAAAGGATGACAGAGGAAGAGGAATTCGTGGATTACGGTTTATCTTGCTCTGTAACGAGGTTGATCGTGAATCATACGGTGTCACTTAAAAGACTTAGCAACATGTACCATTACTCAACTGTCCCTTCTCTTTCTCTTTCATCTTCTTTCGTCAAGTAGGCACACAATAAAAACGCACACTCAAATCCACACGTACAAATATACATGCACACATATAAGCACGTACAAATAGAAACTCAAAACATTCACAAACACGTAGAAACACAAAACACACTACAATCAAACCACACGTATAAACAAACGCGATTAAACGGAAATTCACACGTGCATGGAGAAATGCACCGACACGTACAAACACCTAAAAACACACGCTTCAAACTTATTCTAACAAACACACAAAAATACAAACAAACGTATTACATATGAATACGTACAAATAGAAACTCACACCTACGAAAACACGTTAATAATAATAATATAATTCGCATTGTATTTTTAATAATTTTGCGTATGAGAAATTTATATGAATTAATGCTTGAAAGAAAGGAAGCTCATGTTACATACTGCAAACTTGTATCATAATGAATCAAAATTTGACATAAATTCTTCTCTTTCAGACGTATATTAAAATAAATTTAAAAAACAAATAAATCAAATGTATCAAATATAAAATATATTTAATTAATCAAATGATTGTATACGATTTGTTTCAGGGTACAATGAGTTTGACAAAACGCATAGACGAAGTCAGATTACTGGAGTCACGAAAGAGTGCTCGGTTAGCTGATCAGGACACTGATTTTGCAAGGCTTGCCGATATGGCTGGTGATCGGAAACGTGCTTCGTCTCACTCCATTGACGTACCGCACGTGATCGGGTAAGTTTCTTTCCACCTCTCTTTCTTTTAAACACGATCAATCTATATTTCATTATATCCGAATCCTTTGCTTCAATCGAAGATTTATCTTCGATCATTTTTATTATTATTCACTTACAATTAAATACTATCTTATGAAAAAAAAAAATAGAACAAGAAAATAATATCACACAGTTTTATCGGAATTCTGTACAATCATTTCTGATCACTAAAATTCATTTCAATTCGAAATGATTGTTCAATATTCATCAATTATTTTTGTTTACTTTACTTACTACACACACACACATGACATTTTATAAATATAAATGAATTAATTAGAAAATAATGATTACAATCGTTTTATCAATCACAACACTTCGTATATATCTCGCGAAAAGTTCAATCGATTTTATCGATTTTTATCCATTAATGGTTAGTAAAAAAAATTTTCAAATAATAAAGAAAAGAAACAAAAGATGTAAAAATAGAAAAAAAAAAGAATGCAATTTTCTTCGTACTTTAAATATCGTATGACGATGATTGTGTATACATGGGTACGCGCGTGTGTGTGCAGCAAGGATGCGTCATGTAAGGGAGAAGAAAGAAGGGCTAAGAACCTAACACAGAAGACGGGTTTGGTTCGGTTTGAATTTTCGGAAGGTCGTCTCGTGTTTTTAGCTCCCTCCCGCATCCGTCTAAGCTCGCACACGTGGGATGGCTGGTTGCACACCGGCCGAGGTATTCGATGCTTTGAAAAAGGTGTATCGCATCCGAGGTCTCCTTGCTAAGGGGGGTGAGAGGGGGAGGAGGTCTGTCGCTCGTTCGACCGTGAACACACCCTTGCTTGGCGTATCCTCGCCGGACACCTGTCCCTTGGCTTTGTATACCTTGTCTCTTCTTCAACGAAAACCCCCTACCCCCTACCCGCGCCACTGTTCCACCCTTTCGCCAATTTACTTTGCCAAATTTTAGCAAAAGTAGTCCCTTGCAAGACAATTCTTTTTTTTTTTCTTTTTTTTTTTCAATTACTTTTACATTTAATTATCGTTCCTCGCAATTTAACAATTATCGAATTTCGTTCTAATGATTTTCAATATTGTTTTCTATTCAATTGGAAAGAGATCTTTTTATTTTTTCTTGGAAACACATTTTATTTCTCGTCTGAGATAATTTTCTTTGTTCTTTTACGTTTTACGTATATGTGGGAGAATTATTTAAAATATTTTGAACATTTTTTTAGATGTTACGACGTTCTATTAATATTTTTAACGAGTTTTTTTTCTTTTTTAGAAAACGAACTTGAGTCTGTAATTACTCAAAATATAATTGATCGGTTTAACTTCTAATAGAGTTCATTTCTTTTTGATTAATTCTTCCATTGTTTAACCTATTGTTAAAAAGGGTGAAAAAAATTAGGGAAATCAAATTGCGTTGTACAATAAATATAACAATCAAATATCAATTATTGGATTCTATTTGTTTCCTTTATTTATTTTTCAGGAAAGTATATCTAAATTAAAAACTGTCAATTAATGATCCGATAAATGATAAGATCTCACAAAAGAGAGTAAACAACAAAACAATCAATTAATTAAAAAATCGATAAACGTTATTCCGCAACTCGATTACAATCAATTAATCAATAATATGTTCGTTAAGAAGAAATCGTAACCAATTGAAGAGTTTTCTTAAAAAATGATTTATCATTCACATAGATAAATATTTAATAAAAAATAAAAAATGTAAACACCATTAAATAAAAATGTCAAAGTTACAATAGTACAAAGTCAAAATATAAGGTTTTGTGTAGATATTATGGGGATTATATTCATTGAATTTGTCGGCAAAACTTTCTGTGACACTTTTGTGCATCGTTTAATTCGACAATGTGTCAAAGATTCCTATCTAGCACGAAGCATTGTGCAGCACCTTAGAACCGTTTTATTATTATTATTATTATTATTTCCATGAGGTCCTTTTCGTTCTCAGGTTTCGCTTTGCGGGTTCCGCAGAACTAATCCCCTTGTTCCCTTCGTTCCTTCGTTCGTCTGCACGTTAGTTCGTCGTCTCCTTATTCTTCTTAAAAAAGAATAGAACGGGCTCCGTGTTCGATGTTGGCCGTTTCGATGCCAATGACCTGTCCCAAGATTCTTATTCGTTTTGTGGGCGTCTCGTTCGAGCGAGCTTCGAGGATCCTTTTTTTGCAAGGGTATCCAAGGTTGGCAAAGTTGGCTGGTTCGATACTCTCTCTCAGTTGAGTTCAAGTGAGCACACGATCGCACGATTTCGAGGTGGCTGCTGTTAGTTGGAAGAGACTGCTTCTGGCAGCTGAGAGAACCGAACGGCTTGTGTTGCCACCTGATCCTACCTTAACGCGACCTGCCCCACGCGAATGAGAAGGTCAGCGGCTCTGAGGACGAAAGCAAGAGAAAGAGAAAGAGTAACAGTAGAAATCGGATGCCTTTCGAATTTCTACATGTTATGTATGTACCGATGACGACAGACTTGCTGCAATATATATATATATATACCTTACATGTATATGCATATATATTTGCATATATGCATATTGTTTCTTGCCTTTTAAACCTTCGACCTTCTTTCATTTCCTTAACCATTCATATTATATCAGATACCGATGGATCCCATTGTTTTGACTTAACCTCAAGTGTATTTTTCATTTCATATCAATTAATATCAATTTTTAAATCTAGACGATTAATATTATTTTTCAATGATTTTTACTCTCTTTAACGAATTATTAAATTAGAAAAATTCATTCTATTCATTTACTTATCTTTCATCGATTATTCTAATAATCGGTAGGGCCAATCTTTATTCTTTTAAATCAGGGGAATATTTGATATATTTGAATAGAAAGATTTATTCTAATCAATTTTCTTCAACCTCTCTCTTTATTTCTTGTTTCTTTCTCTTTTATTTCTTATCTATGTTTTCGATCGATGATGATAATAAAAGTTTGAAGTGAAAGTCGTGGTTCGACTTCACCGGAGGAAGACTCTCTCTCTCTCTCTTTCTCTCTCATGAAGTCTCCTTTCTCTCTTTCTCTTTCTCTTTCTCTTGAGCTCAGTAAGTCACTGGGTTAGCTTACATAATTTCGGCCTTTGCCGCGGCCTTTGTCTTTGTGCGGGTGCGGAGGCGAGCGGCTTCGGGGAATTAGGTCAATCAATAACTCGCTCAGATACTATATAGGTCAGGTGCACTAGCACTCTTCGTGCTATTGCATGCCCGTTAGACAGACAGAGAGAGGAAAAGAGAAGTGTGTCCCCTACCAAATACCCTGAACCACCCCTTACGACCACCCAACCGACCCGGGGATGAAACCACCCCACGCCCTTGCCCTGGGCTATCAACATCTACATTTCAACGTTACATTCGTCCCAAAAGAACCTTTGAATTTCTTTCTCTCTCTCTTTTTCAACAAACCGATCTAGATTTCGATTAGTTTTTTCAGGCGGATCGGTATTTGTGTGTATGGATAGATTAATGTTTATTTATAACATTTATCATCGAGGTTTTTGTCACCTGACATTTGATTTATATATTGTAAAGTTAAATCATAGTTTTGGTAAGAATTTATTTTCCTAAATAAAATCCAATAAATATTGGTTAATTAATAAAAAGTATAATAAAATAGTAAATAAATCGTTTGTGTTCAAAAAAAAAAAAAATCTAAGGGAATTCCATGTCGTTTTGGCATTATTTCGTTGTTCTAGATTTCGATCGGTTTTTCAGGACGATAAGTTTGTGATATGTGTGGGTTGGTAGGTCAGGGATTCGAAAAGTTATAGTAGAATAACGTTCTTAAAAATTGACTCTATTTATAAGATAGTGAAAACTTATGACTGTAATAAAAATGATGTTATATTGACTTATGAACATAACTATCAAGTTGCTGAGGAAGTCTCAAATAGAGACGAAACGTTCAACGGATAAATATTGTGTTCATCTTAATTAAACCCGTCCAAAAAAACAACTTCCCTAAGAGTAAACTTAGTAATATTATTTATAACATTTATCATGGTGTTCTCTAGCGTGACATTTAATTTATATACCTATTATTTAAGGATATGTAAATGAATTCTTGTTTCTAACATAATATCATAACATAATTTCAAAGAAGAAAAAATACGTTTATGTAAAAATTGAAAGATTTCAATGTAGGTTTGCATTGTTTCTGACACAAACAACGATGAACGGTGGTTCTTCATATTTGCAACTAAGGAAAGTAGCTTTCGACGTTTCATAATAGATATTAGACTTTACGCGAGTATGCAAATCGATACTGAGAATCTAAGGAACTTAGAATCCTACGCGAAAGTTCGAACCTGTACTTATCAATTTTGCGGCCTTAGCTCGATAAGTCAGTCGAGGTAGGTACGATTGTTGGAACAACTTAATTACAGAGTTTTGTCCTATTGAAATAATCATTGGTTTCAGTTTACGTAATTCGTCATGGTGAGGTGGTAGTAGCAACAGTATCATTGCATACCATGCCGATTTCGTCGAATTAAATGAAATAGCAATTTCGTAAGCGTCTCACAAATGTGACATCATCAATTTAAATCGAACGAAGATTTTCTCCTCAATTTAATAACGATTTATTTCAACCTAATCGTATTTTACCGCTTCGAACAAGAAACGTTTTGCATAGTGGTGGATGAGTAGCTAGCAGTAACAGCAACAGCAACAGCAGCAGCACGTTACCAACGACATGTAACTTAAACGGATAATACCTGCGCGCGCGCACACATATACACATTTATATATACATAAGAAGAAGAGAAGAGAGAGAGAGAGAGAGGGAAGCCTTCGAGGATAAAATATGTCAATGAGTCGCACGATCTTGACCTACCGGCAGACAATATACAGACACTATTTCTGTCCTTTGACTCTTAGAATTTCAGTCAAATCAGCTGAAGCTTAATAATTAAAATTCATTCCTCATTCTTCAACTCACGATACAACACATATCTAACAAAATAATTATAATTTATCGACGATCTATCGAGATCTATTCAAAAGATATTATATAAAATTGCATTGTTTCAAGTAAAAGTATACCAAATTCTAGATGTCAAGGTAGGATAAAATGAAAATACCATTCCGATTCACGAAATGGATGTATACGAAAAGAATCGACTGCTCGGAGGATTCGAACCTGATGGTGATGGTGGTATTAGTATTGATAGTAGTGTTGGTGGTGGGGTGGTGGTGGTGGTGTGTGATGATGGTGGTGTGGAGAAATTGTGTGTCGTGCGCGGGTGGCAGGCCGGGGCCACGGATCTAGGCCGATCGATAGAGCTACGTATCCACGGCACCGTGGAATCGTGCTGGATAAATGGGTCAGGTACACGGAGAACTTCGTTTTCCCTCTAACCCCCTACCTTCCTTCTTTCCTCCCTCCCACCCTCTCGCCCTTCCTCTCTCCCTCTTTTACTTCCTCTCTCGTCCCATTCGTTTTCCTACTTCCCGATTACACACACACACACACACACACACACACACACACATGTTCATACATGCACGCGTGCATCCATTTATACACATATAGAAAAATATTGATACACACATGGATACTAGTTGGGTTGGTTGTGTTGTGTGTTTCAATCGGTGAGAAGTTGTTTTACCGGCGACTACTACTTGTTGAAGAAAAGAAGAAGTTTATGTAGAAGAAAAGAAAAAAGAAAGGAAAAAAAATAAAATAGAAAAAGGTACGAAGATAGAGAGAAGTTATTTCTAGTGTTTTCACTGTGTTGTTCCAAAGGGGGGAAAAACTGTGCTACTATCTGCCGTGTAGAAAAGTAGGACACCGATGATACACGTGCTTTCCTATCTTCCTTTTCCAAGGATACTACCATTCGTTCAGACCTTGTCCAAAAGAATTTAACTTTATCTTTGAAACATCGTTAATCCCTTAACCGTTTCTAAACTATATTTATGTTAGATTTTCTTATAAACTTCTGACAGTTGTAACTCTCATAAATGTATTCGACAATCTAGAGTTTCGAATGTATCCAAACAAGTTAGGGTGTAATTATAATAAACTACTACTTCGCATTTGCCTAAGGAGTTTACATTTTACGATCTGTTAACTTTATTCCTTTATTTCTATTTTTTTTTTATCTCCTTTTTTTCTTTATTTTTATTTAATAATTGAAAAGAAAAATGGATATATTTCTTTGATCATGTTACGGTTTTGATCATGTAGCCTACTGTGGTTTGGTGTCAATCGAAAGAGAAAGACAGACAACGGGGTTAACCCAAATAACGTTCTCATCCGGGTTGCCACGATTTGTAGAAACGTAAGCAGAGAATTGGGTCATTTAATGGGGTCGGCAAGTTTTCCGAATCGGGTTATACCAGGTTGGCTGACCTACTAAAGAATTAGGTCGCTCGATACAGGCCACCTGGATGTTAGCTAGTCTCTGCTCTGTTCCATATTCACTGTCCCGGATATTGCTAGGAACTAGATATCAATGTATGCGTTTATACATATATCTAATTGTAAGTTAATAAGTATATACACGGATACTTGTATATGTAATATATAAAAGAACCTGTAAACGTACAGATAAGAACATTGGCTTTGTAACAAATAACATTAATTCCATATTACTTCTCTTCTTGATTTTTTGTTTTTTTTTTTTGTTCATTTTCTTTTTACTTATCCTCATTATTTTCATCTTAAAGAGGATGTGCATAACGTTATTTCTTAGCTAAAAGTCGATCGTGATTTTACTTTCGCGTTCATTTCATTCCTATTAAAGTGGCACGATGGAAGAAAATTAGCTTATCGTACTATACTTTAAGGATACTTCCTACACGATTTCTGTGTTTTTCATAATAAATTAGGAATTTTTCATTTTACGTTTAACAAAATTCGAAGATTTTGAAAATAGATTTCTTGAAAAGACGAGTCATTTTACGCGTAGATTTATCGTGTCTAAAAAGATTAATATCAACGTATCAGGAAAGTGGAATTTATATTCCTTTCGAAACGTGCCAGGATAATGACCTAGTTTCCTATCGGTCCACACATTCATCCTTTATGACCCAGTTTGTACTTCAAGCGGCATTCTCTTTTCCCATGGTTTAAACATTTTCATATTTCTCTCGATTTGTCTTTCTTTTCTTTCTTTTTTCTTTCTTTTTTGTTTCTTTTTCAAATAATTCGATATCAATTAAAAAATATGAACTTACGTAAAACGTTACAACGGAACAATAATTCTATCGATAATATTACGCGTATACACAGGTTTATGTACGTGTGTGCATACGCGTATCCCACTATTGCATTTTATAAATATTTCCATAGAAAAAAAAAGAAAAAATTTTTACACGATCGACACAAGCTCGTCCTCCGGGTTGATAATATTACGTAACGTTTGAGAGATGACTGCATAACATAAACATGTAGGTGCGTGCGTGTACCTAACACTTCGCAATTTCCACTTGGCCGGTTACTTCATTAGAAGGTGCAAAAGTGTACACCGGTGGTTACATTAGATACACGTTATATGTTAGCTTTGGTAAACTTCTAATCCTTCGTTAACATATCACCGGTTCCACTTTACGATAAGGAACTAGCTCTCTTATACCTAACCACATAATATTCTTATATATCTTCACATACGTGTGTGTACATGCATATCTTTAGTTCAAATTTTTCTTTTCTTTTACACACGATTAGATCATCTTTCATTTGAAATTCCAAAGTGATGACCATTAATCTCGATAATGCAATTAGAAAAAAATTGATTACGTTTGTACGCGTGTATTATTAGATTGGAGATACAATTTCTTCGTATTTCAATGCAATAATTAAATCAAGTTTTGTTTCCTATTTCGTATTCGATTTTCCTCAAATTTTTTTAAATTGTTTTATGATCGATGTTCAGTTCTTTATCGATGTCATCACTGCTAATATGCAGAATCTTGCAGAATTTTTTCGACTTTTCGAATGAATTAGTCGATTAAAATAAAGTGCATCTTTAAACGTTAATATTTTCGAATCGAAAAAAATACTAAAACCAGTTTTGTGTTACTCGTACCAATACTACACATCATGTTCATAAATATTAAAAATTTATTTAACCACCCCGAGAGTGTGTGTCGTATTATTTTCGTTTTTTATAATAAAATTGCAAAACGTATCGAATTATCTTTTTTATTTTTGTTAATTGTCACGATTAGATCATATTTAATTCGCCAACGGGTAGATTGTATTAAAAATTTCATAGGAATATAAAATTAAGATTCCAATGGAATGACCATCGATCTTAATAATAAAATTAGAGAAAAAATTTATCAGATTTATGTAATACAAGCCGAGTAGATTTAAACAACATAATGCAATTTGTAATAGGTTTTATCGATATAATATATTAGTCGTAGTAATAGTAATAGTTGTAGTAGTATCGAAAGTCGAAAGTGAAATTACGAAGTGGTCAATGCTGTCAGCCAAGTTAGTCAGACCATTCGAAAGTAACACCTGTTTAGATATACTCGTATATTACAGCTTATCGTTACATGCAAATCTTTCGTTTTGTTTTCTTATTAGACTAATTGTAAGTAAAACGATCGATTATTCGTAACAAAAATACACACACGCATACACTAATGAAATATCGTACGTTTGATATTTTATTTACAATCAGACAAATGAAAAATCAAATCCACGAGATAAAATGTTTCAAAAATTTGTTCGAATTTTATTGTCTTGTTTACGACTTACTATTACATGCTTTATTCATTTGATATAATACCTAACTTTTCTTAATATATAATAAAATAATAAAATACGGAAGAAAGCTATTGGAATAATGTAATGATCGATGAAACGTTCGATCCATAAAGCGTGCATGTGTTGCCGGTTAAATGTCATGGAAAGTGACTACGAGTATATTTCGCGCCGATTTCAACCGGTTGATCTTTAATACGGTGAAAGCACGTGCTCAAACGTTATATCTACTATCTGGCATCGTTCTGTACGTAGAAAACGTATACGATGTCTTCGCTAATTTTATCCCATGGAATTTATATTTTGTCTCGTTTCCTCGTAAAATATAAACACTAATATCCGATTAACGTTTCGAAGAAATTAAATAGTCTTATCCTTGTATAATTTTTTCTTTTCTTTTATTTCCAATAAAAACGATTATTTCTTCATTTCAAGAATAATACATTTTTATCAATCCCACGTATAAATCCAATTGGAAATAATTTTTTTATTGGAAATTGATAAATATTTAATGATGTTATAATGAATATATGTGAGTATGTGTGTGTGCATGCGCGCGGCTTTTTTTTTATAATAATATATTTGTGATAAAATTAACAAATATATTGTTAATAACAATCGAAGCTGTAATGGGGGAACTATTTCTGTATAAAAGATAGATAAAAATTTATACACAAAAAATAATAATATTATTATCGATTAATTCATTTTTTTTTTTTTTTTATAATTTATTTCAAATAAAAAATTAGATATGTACATACGAAAATAATCTTTACAGATAAAAAATATTATAATTTAATTAAATAATAAAATTAAAAATAAACGTCAGACATTTTTTTTTTGTTAAGTAAACAAAATATTAGAATAATTTGTTGGATGGTAAGATGATAACTCTTTTATAACAAAAATTGATCGAACAAAAATGATGTTTCAGATCTAGAAAACGACGGCCAAGCTCGAGCAATGATTCTGAACGATCTTACAGTGGATGGAGCGAAAGGATACCTTATGGTTGCGGTCGGGAGGGTTGTCGCACCAACGAACGTGGTGATTGCATGGACGAATGCACTGCCGCGTTGGTTCTCATGTCGCTTTCATGCTCGCCCCACAGTCCTCACAACCCGTTACCACTACACTGCCAACATAATTACGGTCAGTAGCAAACGTGAAACTTCACGCTATTCGGCTCGATCCAAAATTATCGAATTCTTTTCCAGAAAAAATTCGAATTTTCTATCTCATGCATTATTTACATCATATAATTTTATTACTTTTTTTTTTACAACCTAATTCAAATATTATGAAGAAATGAATCCTATATAGTCCGATCTATTTTTGTTGTTGTTACAAAAATATATATCATTTGAAATCAACAAATATTAATGTCTAAATACAAATGTGAACAATATTTAAAGATACTCAATTAATTCCCCATATTTCAAATTAGTACGAAGAATCTTTTATTTGTTACAAATTCAAGTTTTATCAATTGGAAAAGAAATTTAGATTAAAAAATAATACTAATTTAACATGCATACGGATTTCAAAGTAACACGAGTCACATGGAGGGTTAAGCAATTCAACTTTTATATACGAGTATATTTATTTTTATATTGAAAAAATATAATAATTACTTGGGAATAAATTAAAATTTCTTTTCGTATGCTATATGATTTTAACGTCATTTATTTTTTCATTTATTTTATTATTATATATTTAAAGGTAAAAGAAAAATAAATAAATTAGCGATTGTCCCTAATGTGATAATTATTTCGCGAATTGGAATAACGATTAAAATGATTAATGTCGAATATTATTTCTTTGACTTTGATAATTAAGGTTCCTGGGGAGGTAGAGGAGGAGGTGGAGGTGGTGTAGTAGTAGGTTCACCAGGAGTTGGTGGTACCTCGAATAGTAGCAGCAGCAGTAGCGGTGCTTCCTGGCGAAGTGGGACTCCAAGTCCACCCCTAAGTGACGAGGGTGCACCAACGACTGGTTCGTTGTGGCCAACACCGGCTCACGTATCACACATCAATCAAGCTCATTATCCTTGCAACCTTTCGGGTTCATCCTCGAGCAGTACACCAGGTTCGACGATCACCATGGACGAAGGCATAGTGCCGGATTATCTTGAAGAACAACATCCACGTAAAAAGAAGGTAAACAGCTCATTTTTTTTTATTTAATTAAACATATTACCAACAACAACAACAAAAATAACAAAAAATTACAAATTGAAATTAAATAAAAAATGTTACTAATAGTTTTCTATGCGCACACGTATATGTTTACGGCAAATCATTTAACATTGATTGATTATTTGATTAGTTTCGTTCGAAGGAATATATTCAATTTCTGTTCGATCAAATAAAATTACATTACCTCGATTGTAGAATTACATTTTCGTTTGATTACAATATTTTTCTAATTCGTTTGTTTTCTTTTATTTTTTTTTTTTTTTAATGATAATCAAACGCGCGTAATTCAATTGGGGTATTATATTATTTCTAATCCTAAGCGAGATTTATCTATTCTTATATCTTACGATTAATTGCAACTTAATTAACTATTTTTTTTAATTATCAATCATTAACATTAATCATCGATTCAATTTTATAATAGTTAATCGATGGAATTAATCATTGCATTCTTATCTTACGATAATACGTAATGTTTGGATTGGATAATAAACATGTTTATATTTGATTTTTCTTGCACATGCAAAAAATTCCTATTTACACTATACATACACATATAATACATACGTATGTACGTAGATGTAAAAAAGAAAACAGTAGGACGTGCGAGGAAAATATCATAAACGCGTGCATGCATAGTCGTATGAATACATATCGACTTACAAAACGATCCTAACTTGCATTTATAATAGCAGCATCTGTTTATTTCTCACTATAATTCGTTCTTTGTTAACATGACCTTCGGATACTAGAAATTAACAGATAGAACATTAGAATTTATACAACAATACATTTAAACAAATAATTGATCGTAATTAGTAATGAAATTTAACAAACGTAATCTACAAGGTATTTTAGTATTAATTATTTCTAATTAAACATTTGATTAATGATATTTGATTAATACAAAAAATTATCGAAAGTAGTCTAGTATTTTTAATTGATTTTATTAACGATATTCCCGTATATAAATTTTCTAAGCTCATTAAATTAATTATTTATGGAACGTATAAAAATACATAACAACAACAAAATTACTCAATAAATGTATTCTTACTTTTGAATATCTTCTCAACTATTTAAACAATATTTAATAAATAAAAAAGTAGTTGGATGTTGTTTTATTATCGGTACCACATTAAATTTTTTTCAATGCACAACATTAATTATTTATTAAATGTGTAAAAAATATAAAGAAAAAAAACTACTTGATAAATTTATTCTAATTTTCGTAGCTAATTAAACAAATTTCGAAGATCTATTTTTTTCGATCGTACAACGTTATAGTTTGCGCGTCAACAATAGAGAGAATAATTAAAAAAAATTGTTTTTTTATTACTGTTTTCCTAACATTTTCGTAACATCCCAGTAATTTGTATCCATTCATTAAAATTGAATATAAAAGAGTTACTTCTCACGTTGAGATTGTTGTTTCAAGTCCTCATTTATTTCGTATCGTATCTATTATCTCAACACGAAGGCGTTTCCCGAGACTACTTTATTACGAAAAGGTGTTCAACGGCTAAACATATCATCATGAATCGATCAAATGACCGGTTTTCAAATATACAATTAAAATTTTCTCTTCTATAATATGTTTATTGCTAATTTATTATATATTTGACATTAACGCGTCAATTATTATTATTAATAATTATTTCAAAAAAAAAAAAAATATTTATCGATTTATTATTTACATCAAATTAAATATTATCTCCATTCGATCGAGAGAGAAAAAAAAACGAAACAACAATTGTGTAAAGACCGTTTTTTTCATTTGGAATGCAAACTTTACGTATTATTTAACCCGCTATCTAATTAAATATTATCTACATTTGATCATTAAAATGAAAAAAAAAAAACAAACAAACAAACAAACATAAACGAGAACTTTTATTAATAGATTTAATTATAAAATTATTACAACTCCCTTTTGCATTAGAGATAAAATGAAAAGAATAACAATTAATACAACTTTCGCGTTAGGATAGAATTTTGTTATTTAAAAAATATAATACGCTATTATCTATCGACAAAAATTAGTGAACAATTATTCCGAAATATCTTGCGTAACACGTGCGACGAATAAGAAAAATCGAAGAAAGAAGGGAAACCTGGATGTATAATAAAGATAAAAATAAAACTAGAAAATCTTTTCGTTGAAAAGTTCTTCTCTCTCGTCGAATAGTCAAGGTTCCAGGCGCGTCGCGTGTATCTATCCTACCTACCTACATACACACACTTATAAACACATACACATACACAAATATATACATAGTATTATAATTCAACGAAGCTTGCTGGCAATGAGGAGGCTCGGCCCTGACCGATCGTAGCTGTTGCATCGACTGCAAACGTTTCACGTTCGTCGTCATTACTCTTGTACTATCTTTGCCAAGATACACACACATACACACACACAAATGTAGCCTTTTTCTATCCTTTCTTACTAACTATTTCTCTCTTTGTCAATCTTCCTTTCTTTCTAATTATCTTTCTTTATCCATCCAATTCATTATTTTGTATCCGTTTCCTCTCATTAACAACAATACAATGCTAAATCTCGAATACTGGATGACATAAGTGTCGTGGGTCCGAGCCAAGGATGTAAACACGCCACAGATGATTTTTGTTATTTCGTAAGAAGAGGCGAGCTGCAAAGTTAACCAGCCGAGCCTTGAGGAGGTATTATCGCGCAACCAAAAGATAATTTTAGCACTAACTATAACACGCCGACTAACTAAACTAAAATAGTTCGCTGCTCGAAAGGATCCCCCTTCTATCTTTTCCCCCCCCCCCACGCCTGTGTTCGATATGGGCCCGATTATTTCAAATATCATTATTATATTTTTATCTCATTCGAGATTTACATATTTATTTTATATTTAATTACTTACTTATTAAATATTTATGTTATTTTATATTTCTTATTTTCTTAATATGTCCAGATCCGAGCGAAAGTTGACCGAGATCCGGTCGAGATTGAACTGAGTTCCTGTGAGACCTTCGAAAGCGAACAGGTAAGTATATTTAATATTATTTATATTCAAGTAATACCAAATATATGTGTTACAACGATTTGTTTCGTCTAAAGAAAAATGCAGCTTTAAAACATAGATCTTTTTTTTAATCGAACATGATGTTTTACACGTGTTTAGCCCTTAAGCCTTATTTTTCATTTTTTCCCACGATTTAAGATATACAAATTATTCATAAAGTGGTGATTTCTTTTTTTTTTAGTTTTATTATATATAGAATAATATGTCAGTAATATAACAACAAAAAAATGTGAGTATCTATTTAAAAAAACAAAAATGAAATTGACATTCGAATGATTTTCAAATGTATTGGGAATACTCGGAATACGTAATTTAGATTTGAGAGCAGAAAGGAAGAGATGGAAAAAAAAATACATTAAAACATTCGTTTATGAATCGATAAATAATCTCGTAATAATAAAACAAATCAAATAGATGATGATAATATAAATCGAATATAAGACACGTAAAAAAATTATAAAAAAAAAAAAAAAAAGAAAAAGAAAAGAACATTTTTAATGCAAAAGAAAATTGGCAAAAAAATTGTATAAAATTAAACAAAAGTCGGATAAATGGATAAAAAAAGAAAAAACGAAAGATAAGGGATTGCACGTGAGAAAGAATCGACGTTTCCGATTGCAAAATTTTCTCCTACTTTTATTCGACATCCGCTCCGTTTTGCGGCGAAGGTCGGATGCCTTTCTAAGTTTCTAGGTTTTCAATGTATACAGTATGTTACATAGACTCTTTTCTTGAGATAGATATATTGAAAGAAAGAAAGAAAGAGAAAGAAAGAGAGAGGAGAGAGATTATCGCATTTAGTCAACCGATAAGACCATATCTCGACATCTTTTTCGATTACACACAGCTACTCGGTTCGTATATACCAGTTCTTATAAACTTCCTTTTTCCTATCACAAACGGATCATATAATAATAAATTATTAAGATCTATCTTTCATTTACTTGCACACATTATCTTTTTTTCTTTTATTTTATTTTATTTTTTGTTTATTAATTTTTCTTTCAAATAGAGAAATACCATACGCGATAATTTTGTTTACGTTTACAATTAATTTCACAGTGTTAGTAATATGTATTCGTAGTTTTTGTAATCATTATTTATTTGATTTTTTGTTCTCGATACCAGACAAGCTACCTGCCGTGATTAAGTATTTCTATTTACTTCTCATTTATTTTATTTCGAATAGTAATACTAACACACATACTTGTTTTACATTTGTAATATAATTTAATGTGTTCCTGTAATAAAAAAAAAACATCTTCGTATATTTCTTTTTTCCTTCAAATACGTACACACACACACACACATACAAACACAAATATTTGTTTAATATTAATAATATAATTTTATCCTATTATATTACAAAAATATGTGGTATAATAAGTGTTAAAACATTGATTATATTTAACATATAAATATACATACTTGTTTTATAGTTTATGCGCCATGTATGTGTGTATAAATCACCGTCTGTCTATCTGTCCAACTGTGCCTGTCTTTATACAATGATATCGTATCTCGACAGAGGAAGAGTAATTTTTTATTAGGTGCAAATTAGAGTTTTGTCGGATTTCTTTCGTTAGCCTGCATTGGCCCTGCGTTCGAAAGCAGCTCATTATCGCAAAGCCTGTAATTAGAGAGTTCTCGTAAAGACCAGTTTTTACGATCGACCCGGTGATAATAATGAACATAAGTATTTCGTGCCAATTTCGTATCACTTCTCGAAACGTTTTTCGAAACTGTCCGATTATTATTCCGATTTTTAAGCAAAATAAAAAAAAAGAAAAACTATATATATTTGTATATATATGCGTGTGAAAAAGAATTTAAAAAAAAAAAAAATAAATAAATAAACAAAAAATAAAAAGACAATTTACGTGAAAGGTGAAAATTTTCAACGTTATGGAAAGTAAAAATCGTCGATGATTATAATAAAAACTCGTAGCACGCTTTATGCTTTAATCAAAAATGTTTCGCATAGTAACCGAGATAAGCCTTTGATTTCCAAGGCTTGGTTAAGAATTTTTATTATTATTATTATTATAACATTTTCGTTTTTTTTTCCCTTCTATGCATATATACTTCTTTTCCTTTTTTTGTTTTTCAATTAATCTATAATTTTCAATCTGTAAAGCCAAAATTTTCATGCAATCATCGCATCTTGTGTTCGATCTTATTAAATTCTAATTATTTCTCTATATAAGTAAATGTATAATATATATATATGTAAGTTATCAAAGATTAGAATTTTGTTTTTTATTTTTTAAAATAAAAAGCATAAAAATAGAATAATTTTGTCCGATAAGGAAAACTATATACAATAAAAAAAATTAAACAATCGCAGATTAGAATTAAATATTTTCATTGTCAATTTTTATTATCGTTGTTAAATTGTGAAATAAATTCCCGATAATTATTGCACCTTGAAAATAATGTATATAGAAGAAAAAAAAAAAAATTCTAATCGGTGTTTCTCTATCTATTATATAAAAGTGCGATAAAAAAAAGAAAAAGGTATCACAAATCGGTATCTTTTTTTTTTTCCTTATTTAATTTTTTTTCCATTGGGATCTCAAAGCAATCGAATTGGAAAATAATAGTCATAGAGTAGGAGGAGGTGGTAATATCATTCTGGTATCGGTGTCCCTGACGGAGAAGTTTGTTGGGTGGACGGAAGAGGGGAAGGTTAGGCCAGGAAGTATCACTGGAGTTACGCCGTGAAACAACCGCGATGTTTCCTTCCCTCCGATTCTCCTCTGTTTTCTCAATATGTAAAATATTGTTAGAAAAAAAACGATATTGGAAATATTTCTTATTAATTCACACGCGAATGCACAACTCTTTTTTAAAGACTGCATGTTTTGCATCAATAATAATTATTCGTAATAAAATTCTTAAATTATATTAAATATCATGTCTTATATGCGATTTGTGAAAATCGTCTAAAACCAATATAAAAATTCATAGAAATTTATTCTTTTTCTTGATCTCTTGTGTGAAAAATGTAATTTACAATAGCATTACTTCATTAATCCTTTTTCACGTTGGATTTTAATCCAATTTTATTTTGGTAGTAACTATGACAGTTAAATGTTTATTTAAAAAAATATTCTCTTATTTGTTTAACGATACGATTAGTATTGTACAAACGACAATTTAGTCAGCATAGAAATCGTATCAATTCGAGAGAGAGAGAGAGACAGAGATATAAAAGAAAAAGCTTTTATACTGGGTGATTCACGAGACACGGTAATCGGTAGAGATTACTTTGTTATTAGCTATCGGATCGAAAATGTTTTTATCAAGTATTGCATGGTTTCAAAAAAGCTTTAACATGCATATGTTACGATCAACCTATATAATGCCCAAAGGATTTTGGTCGATTTTTAAATTTATATTTTATATAAATTATATCGATTATAAATTTTCAAATTTATACACAATGTCAGTAATATATGTTTCGGTGAATCTTTAAAATATGCTTCAGTGGGGTGGGTTTAGAGTATAGGGGGGTGACAAAATGATCTTTAGAAGGAAGATCTACACTCTTAACAGAAACCGAGCACCACGCTAATTTTTATAGTAACAAAATGACAGTATATATCTTTAATTATTAATAACTGAATTCGTGTCTTTTTCTAAATTAAGAAAAACGTACCACGCTTCAGGTTTTTTTTGAAGATTTGTCAGGATTTTTTCAAGACTGCGTTAGAGTTTTTTTGGTTTCCTTTTGTAGATTAAGAGGAGTATTTAGCTCAAAAAATCCTGACGCAAGCCTGATTCAACTGTTACAAAACCCTCAAAAAAATATATTAATTTTTTCTCGACGGAGAGATGAAAATAAAAGTAACACATATTTTACGTTATGGTATTAATTAAATTCGTTTTGAAATTACGTTAACAAATGGGCGTAAATAAAATATAGAAATTGTTAAAAGATTTGACACATAATTTAAAGATGTCTTAAAACTATGAAAAAACGTTTATTCATCACGATACGTGAATTACCTTGTATTATTCTTTCTTTCTGTCTGTCTGCATATTCGTTTTTGTGTTTTTTTTTCTCTTCGCGTTTTTCAAATATTTTCTACCGAGGTTTACTTGGAACTTAAAATAGAATTTTAATTGATCTTGTAGAATTATAAAAAGAAAGAGAGAGAGAGAGAGAGAGAGAAACCTTGCGAGGTTTCAAAAGCATCCAATATTACCTTAGGAACGTTCTCTATCGAATACATCGTTGTTTGGTTAGCCTCGACATACGTAGGAGACATAGATTAGAGATTAGAAGGTGGGAGGGGAAAAGTACGCGTGTCGAAGCACGTGTAATTTCAACTGCAATTATCGAACGACCTACCATTGCGTTTGTTACGCTCGATCGCTTCGATTACGCGATCGTTCGATCATTTACTTTGTCATGACGAGTTAGATAAAGCTTGACTGATAGATAGAGAAAGATAAAGAGAGATAGAGAGAGAGAGAGAGAAAGAGAGAAAGAAGGAGAGAAATGACAACAGCTATGTTTCTCTCCCCCTTCATTAGAGTTTCATTCGAAACCTAGAATTGTTGAACGATTAATGTGATGTTAAATTGGAGATTTTACAATGAACATCATTTTCTGATCCTGATAGATCAAATCTATCTAATGAACCTGAAATATATGAGATTGGTTAATACTGTATATAAAATGATCATGAATAGAATTTTTTTTAATGTAATATCTTTGATATTTAATCCATAAAGAGTTTTTTTGTTTCTTTTTTTTTTTTTTTTATGGTAATGTTCAATTGTATATTTTACAATGAACATGATTTTCCATACAGTTTGACTAAATCGATTTAACGAAGCTGAAATATATGAGACTTGGTGATGGAGTGTTAATTATACAGTATGAAGTGAAAGATGATTAATATGAATTTTTATATAATATTAGTGAAATACATAAACGCGCAGAGTTTTTA